GGAGCTGGAGACAGAGCTGGAGCTGGAAATGGAGATGCAGATACAGCTACTGATACAGAAACAGACGGAGACAGTGTAGACAGAGGTACAGGGGAGATGCTGGCACAGACTGGAGATGGGGATGGAGGTGGTCACAGAAGAGGTGCAGACGCAGGTGGAAGTGACCGTGTGCTCCCCAGGGGCCAACACAGGTGACCTACAGCCTGACCACACTGAACTGTCTCATCAGCCCCAGGAAACAGGCCATGGCTAGCCCGTGTGCCCGTGAAAGCCAGCTTGGTCCACCCCACACCAGGAGGGGCCCAACAACCCTACCCCCGCTGGACCCCAGCCTGGCCTCTTCTCTTCAGGAGTCTCAGCTTCTCCCTGTCTCTTCACATCTCAGATCCTGCAGGCACCACTGTCCCCTCCCACCTCGTGCTGGTTCCCAAAGGCAGCTCCTGGCCCTGCTGGTCTCCTGCTCTGCTCACCTGGCAGACCCCCACGGCTGGCACCACACCCCACCTCCCACAGCTGCCACCTACGTTGTCCCTGGCCAGCCCTGGGACAGTTGAATGGTCCGTGTAGACCAGCCCACTTTGCTGTGTTGTAGAGAGGAAGAAAAATCCAACGTGGAAGTGGTCAGCACGCAGAGCTCGGCCCGGTGAGGGCATCTCTCCCAGTGGCTGCACGGTGAGGGTGTTCGTGGCAGGCTCCGAGTCAGAGGCCCTGTTCTGCCATGTGACCTTCGTGAGTCAATAGTTTTCTCATAGGAAAACGGGGTGATTGTGGTCCTGCACTTCTAGAACTAAAGATTAGGCGATGGTCCACGGACAACACTTAAGAGCAGATCCTGCTGGGGAACGTAGGAACGTAGGAACTCCTAACTCCTCTGTGCCTCCATTTCTCCATCTGTAAAATGGGGGTAATGGCGCCTACCTCCCAGAGGTGTTGCCAGGATACCAGGCAGAGGACACGGCCGTGTGGTGCCCAGCTAAGGGTTAAGTCCCCACTCCCTAGTCAGGCTGTAATTTGGAGTGGGGAGGCCACTGGAAGCCAGTAGGGACAACGGGGGTAGCCCAGGGCTACATCTGCTGTCAGCCATGGTGTCTTACTTGCTTGAACCCCAGGAAACAGTGTGGTGGAAAAGGAACTTTCTCTAATCTGAGCAGACTACTCCCACCAAAGTGCAGGAGGCTGCTATGGTCCGAGTCTAATGAGGCCTGAAGATGCC